TATATATATATATATATATATATATATAGAAAGAAGAACATACAGCTAAAGATTGGGAATAGTTTATCCTATCAATCGCATTCACCTCGAGACTAAGGTACTCACGGAAGCCTCTTCATGAAATTGGTATCGTTCTCTCTCTGCTTTTATCGCGTGTCGACGGAATTCCCCGCCCCCGTACACGACGTGAGACTATCGCGAGCTCTTTCTTTAATCCCGATGCAGGTAGAAATTCTCCGGGAGGCTCTCCGACGACTTTCCCAGGAGAAATGTCTCGTCTCCCCTGTGTCCTCACCCTACCACGTCCTTCTTACCCGTCTTAGCGTGGACCGCTGTACCTTTTCAACGCTGTTTCCTCCAAAGCCTCCACCTCTTCCTCTTCCTGCTCTTCCTCCTGCCACCTTTATCACCTTCGTCGTTGTCCCAAGTCGTCCATTCGTTTCTCAGGCTCTCTCGCCTTCCCCCTCCCCCACTCACCCACCCCTCGTCGTTCATACTTCCCTTCTTTTCGCCGTGCCACCCCCTCAAGTTAGCCTTCTCGCTTTTATCGTCGGAGGCGGCAGATTTTCCTCATTTTACTTTTCAATCTCACGAAGGATGCGATTTTCTTCCTCATTTCCACTCCGACAATATTGAGGAAGCGTCGACGGGGGAAAGAAGACGAAAATTCTATAATTTTGTCGACAGTATCATCGAGAAACGGAAAACGGACGGGAACGAACGGGAAAGAAAGGGTGCGACACTAATCCGACTATCACCTGTTAGCGTTAGCGCTCTATTAAGGAATACAATTTGCCTTTTAACGATTTCTGAGCGATTAAATCGTCGTTTAAATGACACAATCAGATTTTGTTCTCACGCATTTATTTGAATTTCAACAATTCAACCATATTGTACGTCCAATTGCATTGCTCGAAAGAAATAACGAGACTTTGTGGTTTACTTACCTCCAAGACGTGTTCCGCTTGATTCTCTCGATCGAGCTTTCTGCCGCTGGTGGTGATGAGACCTGCAACATCGAATCGGCAGCAATTAGAGAAATATCGAATGATTAAATAAACAAGTGATATTTCAAATTGCGGCGGAACAGTAAAACTGCGCAATGAGTTTTCTCCTTTATTAAATCGTTGAATTGCGGGCAAACGAACGAACCAGGTCCGTTCCGTTATCGGGGCAAAAATCAACGCGAGAGAACGAAATTGTAGCGTTCAGATTTTTGACACGCGACTCGAACTTGTTACACCTTCAACATCGTATCATCGCTGCGAGAGATATCGAGGTTTTATTTTTTACGTCGCATGGAATTTCTTTCATTATGCGACACGGACTTTGCTCGGAAACTCGATTAAGCGAAAAAAAAAAAAAAGATATTTTTTGGAAAGTGCAAATATACACGATATACATAAAAGAAGAGAATGAAAAAAAATTTGTCTAATGGAGGTGAGCCGCGCGCAAAGCCTCGACGAGATGCGAGCGCGGACGCGCAAAAGCGACACCGCCAAACAAAAAGGAAGCCCTTTAGCACACAGCGCGCGCGCGCGCGTGTGTTGTATAAAATCCGAGCAGGTTTTTTTTTTTTTTTTTTTTTTTTTTTTTTTTTTTTATTAGTCTTACGGCTTCCGGTGACGGTAGAACCGTCGGCGGTTTAACGGCCTATATTTTATATTACACCGCGAGTCGCACTAATCGAGTTAAAGGGAAGCCGTTGTTGCTGCCGGTCTGTACACAGAGCTTCACGATCGCCAGCCAAGGCGGTAGCTCGTCGGTTCTCACATAATTTTCGCCTTGCGCGATCTCGTTGATGATCAGTATGACGTGAATCCGAACTCTCGTGCAACTGACACGTACAGAGAGCGGAGAATACCATTAAAACAAAACTAATTCCATGTTTTTGTAGAGCAAACGCCTGGCGCATGTTAAAACTTAGTTGGGACACCGTTATATCAAAACCGTGATAGAAACGTGAAGACCTAGAAACGCTTTGCAAAAAAACAAATGTCTGTTCAAAAATTAAAAGAGTTTTTCTACTCTTTATTATTTACTCTTATATTTCAAACTTCGGAATTATATAATCGTAACTTTTTTTTCACATTCCATCAGCAATTTTTCAGACAACGCGGCTTATTTCTCGTGCGCTTTTTTTCTCGCTTTTAAATCGGAAGAAGTATGAGAAAAGGGCGCGGAGACAGAAACGGAAGCGCCGCGATGGACAGGAAAAAAAGGGGGAATTGGCGGGAAGTGGCGTTCGATCGGAGCCGCGAATGCGAACGTACAGCGCGTAGTCTGGTGATGTAGAGCGCATTTAAATAATTGCTTTTCGTTTTCGTTCTTCGCTCTCTCTCTCTCTCTCTCTCTCTTTCTCTCTCTTTCAGGCCGTGTCGGCTCGACGCGCGACTGTTCGCCTCGGATCTGATAGGAATGCACGTACATGCACGCGCCGGGAATACCGGCTTCGCACAGTGGCGCGCGTATGACCGCGAATAAACCCGGAAAATTCGTTATTGGAAATCAGTGCGAGGCAGAAATTACTTACGTATTATATTCGCCCGATGTTCTCGTCGTTGTGCGCGATCGCGAAGCGCGGCGCGACGCGAAACGAAGGAATTCGGGATTTAAAAAACGACGGGATTTATTTTCTGCGTGGATCCCAATGGAGACGTCGCGAGTACTTGGTTTTTCTCTCGAAACGCGCTGGACGAAGAAAGAGCGAGCGAAAGAAAAAACGCTCGACGCGGAGTAATATTTTATGATGATAGTGAAAAATGCTTCCGGGAGTAAAAACGACGCCGGAGCACCTGGAAGGCCGCTTTAAAGGCCGCTCATCTTTCGCTGAGAGAAAGTTTTATCGGGATTATTCCCTTATGACGAACTAAGATTATCTGTCTTTCACGAGCGCGGCGCGGCGCGGCGCGGCGCGGCCGCATCGACGAACGTTTTATGAAATTTGCCTGCCGGGATCGCTCGTGTTCGCATTAAAGCGATTCCAAAAAAAAACAAAGTTCGCCGCGCAAATAAAAAATCTCAAGGGTTTGTTAACCCGTGGATCGCCATCTGTGAAAAGTCGTTTCGAGAGTCGAATATATATATTCACGATAAATTTTCAAATTGTACAAAACTTGGGAGAGCAAAAAACAGTTCGTGCAAGAACTCTAAAAAATGTTTAATTAAAAATAATATAAAAATTATCTTGATATTTTAATTTGTTCGTTTTGGTTTTTGTTGTAAAAAAAAAAAAAAAAAAAAAAAAAATAACGCATTATTCAATCTAGTGCGCGCTACTGCGAGCGTTTATGGCAACATAGTGAATTAGGGAGAGCAATCAGCGACGCGCACATACGCGGGATAAAAAATCTCGCATTTCTCTCCCTTTTTTCGGACTAATTAATGAAATTATATTCCGGCATACATTTGCGTTGCATCCAGACTTGGTTGATAAAAAGCCCGGGATTTTCTAAAAGCGAACCCACGGAACTCAGGAATCATCAGGATTTAGCGCGTTTAATTAACACCGCATTTTACGTTCTATTTACTTCGCAATATCACAACGCAACGCGTGCGCGAGAGAAGACATAATTTTTACGTGGCGCGGTGCGCGTTATACGCGCCAAAAGTGCGATTAACCGCGCGATTAGTTACACCCAGGTTCGTGGCGTGTAACGTTTACGACGTGCCGTTCGCTCGCTCTTGTAAGCTCTTTGCTCCCCGCGGGCGAGGTCGTATTACTCGACCAAGGGAGATCTATCTAATCTAATTTTGCACCGCGCTGTGTGTAACACACCACTATTGTTCTCCGTCGTCGTATCTCTTAGCACTGCGTACTCTTAACTAGAAACGTTCGCGCGAATGTGTGTCGGTTAACACATCTGAAGGTGTGTCTTTTCATACAAACGAAGAGCAATTGAGTGTGTCCGAAACGAAAAAAATTAAACAATAATTTATCAAGTTGATTTTGTATAAATTTATTAGCGATAAATAGAGATTACTCTCGGGCTCTATAAGTCTTTTAAACTAATAATATGTGAATATAAGGACATGAAGAGCCGTTCGCAGGATGTTGTGCGTAAATGTGAGAATATATATATATGAATGCATATATATATATATGTATTCACGTGTAATATTTTTCACGTGAGTTTTTTGGAATTGAAATAACAATTCTTTAAATCAAATATGATGCTAATATTGCATCTTATATATGCAGGGTCCCCAATACAATATTTAAAATTAGTTAAGGGGGTATTGGGGACCCTGCATATATAAGATGCAATATTAACATATTTGATTTAAAAGGAATTGTTATTTCAATTCCAAAAAACTCACGTGAAAAATATTACACGTGAATACATATATATATATATATGTATTCATATATATATATACATTCTCACATTTACGCACAACATCCTGCGAACGGCTCTTCATGTCCTTATATTCACATATTATTAGTATAAATTTATTTTTTCAATATAGTTGCCTTCCACACCTCGATATATACTTTGACCGAGCGCTTCTCGAGAGCATCAGTTTTTGGTGAAACGATTTCTCGAGCTCAATCGAAATCGAGCTAATCGCGACGACTTTAATTCGTTGTTCGAAAATTTTCTTCCGCCAAGCCATTTCTTCAGATTTGAAAAAATAAAATGAAAAGAGACGTTTTTCTCACTGTGCTCCGCGCGTTAAATTGGAAAAGAAATCTAATCCCTTCTCGTACATATGTTCGTGTGAAACCGTTTTATTTGCATGCAGCAGGATTATACTCATAGATCATAAAACAACACTCCGGCCTCGCGCCGTATAATAATGTTAATGAGAGCGGTGAAACGGCAGTGTAATCACAAAGCACACGTGCATGCGATATACCGTGACGCGTTATTTCAGCGTGCATTTCTCGAGCGCATGGATGATGGAGTAGGTTTTTACCAGGCTGACCTTTTCCATCCGCCGGTCCGTCCCTTTTCCCGCGACGTTACGGGGGATTAAAAAACCGCGGTCTCCTTGCTTGTTATCGGACGTTCGCGAAAATTGATTGAGAGGCCGCGGCCGCGTATGATTGATGCGCCGCGCGAATGCGAGGAAAGCCGCGACCGACCGCGCGCGCGTAACGAAAGCGAAGCGACGCTTTATTAATCGAGTGATTAGGCGATTTTAATTCGCGGAACGAAATCGGCCGCGATTTTTTTTTGAAAAAAAAGGAAGACGAACGTTTTTAGCAAGAAAAAAAAAAAATGACGAGAATACGTTACGAACGTTCTTATCTAGTCGAAAACTAAATCAATCGAGAAAACACTTGGAAATAAATGTTCTTAACGTAACCAGAGAGACTTCGAATTTACCGCACCTTTATAATACTATAATTACCAGTTTAATCGCGCGATTATGCGTTACAGCACCGTAACTAGTCCCGAGACGAGTGGCAAGTGTAGCGCGTAAAAATCTACGATCGTTGTGGTTGGCCGATCGGTTTCGTGTTACGTTGCTTGCCATTAGACGCGGAAATAAAATACTCTTGTTGTTGTTAAATCCCGCACTGTGTACGCCATCTTAAAATCAATGATAAATTCACACACACGTGTATTTATGACGGAGTTATATCACAACGCGTGTATATACTCCGTTCTGTTTATTAACAGAATCGTATCGTAAATTACAAAACCCGATATATTAACAACCACCGCGAAATTGTTATATTTGCGCGTTGCAATTAAGTATCAATGTTACGCCGAATATGTTGGATACGTAATACAGCTGATTCAATCGCAGTTCTGAAACGGATCTTTACATAACGCATCCGACAGACTTTCCGCGATGCCACGAACAACAGTGTTGCGATATTTGGTAATTTGCGATAAAATTCGCAACGGCTCCGAGAGATATCGCAATGTTGTTGTCATTAGAGTAAAAACACAATTCTTTTTTACTTCACCGTTCGCGGAGTTCCGTTGTACGCGCGAAAACGCAATAATGTCGAACAAATACGAACCTTGCGGTGATACGGTCGCCGCGAAAAGACCCGCGCAACCAGCGATATATATACATTTCGCGGAGATAAACGTTCGTTTATTCGGTTTTAGTTCCGTAACCGCGATCGTATTGCACGCCGGGCAATTTGATACGAGTCGCGAGCTCGCAAAAATCGTCGAGTGACGTCTATCGCTAAATAAGAGAGAGAGAAAGAGAGAGAGAGAGTGTGTGTGTCGGTAATAAATAATAATGCCGTCGCGCGAGAAGAGAGCGCGAGTTCGCAATAAAATAAAACGATGACTCTTCTTCGGAGGGCAGCGGAAACCAATTTAGCTGGTATTACACGGAATTTGGAAGCCACCCGTCCGATACATTACGCGCAGTAATTGCTGTTGGTGGAACGGTGCCGTCGCCGCCGGGTTGAAACCGGGGCAGAGAAACCGGTGCTAATAGTTTCCGATACAACATGGGACGCTCTATGCGCGCGTGTATGTTCTCGTGAATAATATCTATACTTCTCATCCAACACTTCGCTCCGATTCAAACTGGCAAATATTGATATTTGTTTCCTTTCTCGCAAATTCCGTCTATTTTGATACGTTTGCCGTTACAACGAAAAGAAAACCATGAGCAATTGTTTTAAGTATTTTTTTTTTTTTTTTTTATCACGGTCTGTAAATAAACAAATACATAAATAAATAAACACAAAAAAGAATAAACACATCGAAGAGAACAAAGAATAATTATTGTAACGTTAATAAAGATCGCGCACGCGCGCGCGCGCGTAACTACTTTTCGCGACATGTTGCGGTTACGATAATGAAGACACATCGAGCGAATGCATCGAAGAGACTCGCGCGCAAACATTTTATTCGATAACCCGATGATAACCCGATGACATTTATAGTCGACGCGATTGATCGCGGGTTATAGAGAAGATGTATTTCCGTTTTGACACACGACAACGCGCGGAGGAAGAATGAGAGCGACCGCAATACATATGTCGCGCCGCCATTTTATCCATTTCCAAATCTCCGTCCGGCCGGATGTTTGTTCGATTTTACTCGTCGTATGTGAAATACGAAAGGATTTCGAGACGAGGTCCCCGGGCCAAGTTTTACACAATCCCGAACGCATTAAAAGTTCCGCGGATGGATGGACGCGCAAAGGGGGGGAAGGATTGGCTCTGGACGGCGAAGAGGAAGTTTTCCCTAAATTGGTCCCGACGGCAATGAATACGAATCAAATGTCGAGTGAGACCAGTTCCCATTGTAAACCGTCTCCGTCGGTTATAACCGACTTTCATTTTGCGTACTAATATCGATCGCGCGAACGAACTTTCGAAGAATTCAAAGACGTCCGTTGTTTGTGACAAGAACGCCTGGCTGAACGCCAAGGATTTATAAAGTGGTATAATACCCAAACGCGCGGAGGTTGCGACTTGGACGGAAATAATATCTACTTTAATACACTGGCGACTTCATCGCTTTAAGAGAACGGTTCTTTTATTATTAACTTCCGATGGTATTCTAAGCGCGCGCGCGCGCGAAGAAAAAGAGAGCTTCGACGTTCAAAAATTAAATTTAGATGTTATCCGCGCGCGTTGCTATTTGTATACACCGAAAAAATTATATTCTTATAAGTAGAAGATTTTATAGTTAAAAAATCTTCTTAAAGATTTTAGATGATATTCTTCTGAAATTAAAAATATATTCTTTACTCTTAAGAATATATTCTTAATTTAAGAATATAGTCTTTTTCGATAGTGAGATATATATGTTTTTCTATAGAGGCTTTTTATATTCTAATCAGTATATATTCTTATCAATATTACTATTTAGAGGATTTTCCTCTTAAAATAAGAAACTCTTCTTGGCGCTTATTTTAGTATAAAATATACTTAAAGTAAGTGGGATATCCTCAAAACAAGAATACAATTTTTTCGGTGTACCTACCCGTTTCGTAGTTCGTACATTATTTTGTCACACTAAAAAAAAAACAAAAAAAACAACATAACGCCGCGCCTCTTACGTTATTTATGGGGGATTCTAAAGTCAGAAAGAGCACGGCACGCCGCCGTTCCAGATCTAACGAGCTTGCGAGATAGGCGCTCTCATCGTTTTATAATTCCCGAGCGTCTCACGCGAGAAGGAAGCGAAACGATAAAAGGGGACTGATGAATATGGATCGACGTTCGATCACCCTCGGATTTGCATGCGCGGCCATCGCGGGTGAGGCAAGAAACCAACCCCGCGTATCTTTAAACGCGCGTCTATATATAGGGGGTTGCGACTCCAAGAAGCGTGTTCTCGAAATAAAGATAGATCGTGACGCGCCCTATCGATAATTTTCCGTTATACGCGTTCACGTGTAAGACCGTATTGATATAGCGAAGTAGGTATGAGGTCATTCATTAAAAAAAAACCAATATCTCTCATCTCGCAGACCTGTCGTTCGATTTGGCGACCGGTAACGAGAAGATTCGAACTCTTTTCACGGAAGCAACCAATCTCTCTTTCTCTCTCTCTCTCTCTCTTACGATTACACGTAACGGATCTATTAAAACTCCCGTCCGACGAAAATTGAGCTCATTACCGGCTACCGGGTGTGGCTAAAGACCCGTCATCCTGATCTTGCCGCGAGGCCGGTATTATTTCACCGCCTGATGCGATACGAGCCGCGGCGCTTGAGCGTTGCTTTACAGAAACGCGTCCGGAAACTTACCGGTGGTAGAGTTGATGAGAAAATAACCCTCCGGATTGCCGCTGCTGATGGTGAAGACGAATTGCTGGGGCGAGACGTCGCGATCAAAGGCGCGGATCTGCAGGACGCTCACGCCGGCGGGCGAGTTCTCCGCAACCGAGGGATAGTAAACTGGAAGTTCAGTCAGCGGCGTGTTATCGTTCTCGTCCAGCACTTCGATGTAAACCTGTACACACGAGGGAAAGAGAGACCGCCTCTATGAATAATTCGCTCAATAATGACACGTGCACAATTCATATTCCGCGATCAGAGAATTATAACGATTACGGCACAATGTGTTTATTTAGTTTCACATGTAGTATAGGGTAAAAGACCCAATTACTGTCACCTGTCCAATTACTGTCACCCTAAGCTATTTTATTTAAAATATTAAATAAATCCTAAAAAGTTATGCACGAAAACAATCTAACATAGAATTTTAAGTGCAATTAATATAATAAAAAATCCAGCACTCAACATTCTTGTCTCATTTCTGTCATTTTAGGGGGTGACAGTAATAGTTCTCGCATCGTTCTTTCTTAATTATCTTAAATATCTTAATTATCTTAAATAATAAATTTATAAATAAAAATAGAGATTTTGAGAGGCGGTATTATTTTGTTTCTTATATTAAAGACATTGAATAATACCAGATAAGACGAAAAACACATGTTTTTGATAAATAAATAAATAGTAAAAACAATTCGCTAACGCCAGAGTTTATTATTCAGGTGTGACAGTAATTGGGTCTTTTACCCTAGATATAGTTTAAAAAATAAACGAAAGTTTAGTTTTAAAAATAAATAAATACAAATGCTTTTTTTTTTTTTTTTTTAACAATCGAACAAAATCTGCTAGCTGAGCGGAAAAGACATCACGATGTGAGAAGTGATAATATAGTCGTGCTAAGTACGTTAGCGATCATTTAATTTCTCTGTACCTACGACACGCGTATGTACACTGAGAAAAAAAAGTTGGTGAAGTAACAAAATAGTATTTGATTCAACTATATGCAGCGGTCACGGGCTGTCAATGAAATATTGATTAATGTAAAAAGATATCACGTTTCAATAGATATAATAATTAGATTATACCAAAAGACAATTTAGTTGTTTTAACAAAATTATAATTTGCTTAAATACAGGTAACTTTGAATGTACAACACAATAGGACAACACAATATTTTGTCTGCTTATAAAAATAAGCAGTTTGATTAGATGAAAAATACTTAGTACAAAGAAATTCAGATTATATTCAATTAAAGTAAATGAGAATTGTCTATTTCATCTTTTTTAACAGTATCTTTTATTTGAAATTATCACAACTTGTGTTCGACAAAACAATTTTCATGGTTTAGTGAATTAAATATGTTCATTACCGCTATTGTTAATTCAACTTATACAAATTTGTTATCTTTATTACCATATGCTTGAATTAAAAAAACAAGATATTTCAGATAACAAACTGAAACTCAACTAAACGCATTTAGTTGAGTTAATAGTATTTTTTTCTCAGTGTACGTGACGTTCATAATTGTTTTTTCCGAAAAATCATTACAACACACAACAGACGCAAAGTACGACCATATATCGAAACTTACTTGTAAACTCGAACTCAGCGGAACCACACCGTGATCCTGAGCGTAGACCGTCAGCCAATATCCTCTCTTCGTCTCGACATCAAGCGCGGCTTTAGTTAGGATATTTCCTGCAATGAACACATAAAGAGTTGCAATTAACTCGAGAACTGGAATAAGCACGGGGGGAAAAAAAAAAAACAGTTTTGTTGAGATTACCAAATGTTGATATTCTCAAGCAAAATTTGATAATTTCCGGAACACGCTTTATTTGATTTGACTTGCCAAATTTTTGTTATCTCAACAAAAAACAGTTTTTTCAGTGCAAATGAAGTTTGGAGCGCATAATATATCGCGATAATATCTCGATAGGTATTACGTATATATATATATATATTTTTTATATTTTGAATTAATTCATTTCATTCCGATCGATATACCGTCGTGTGTCTGCGGCGATATCCGCGCGTATAATGAAATATATCGCAGGTGCGAGCCGGTCGAGCGGCTTTCTCGGGGAACGGAATTAACGTTAAGATACGCGAAATATAATCGACGTATCGTGAGACCTTTCGCACTCGGGCGCGCGATATATCCCTCTGGTATATCGAGACGTGAAAACGAACGCAAGGCGACCAGTTTTGCGAGGAAAAAAGGCCGCGACGATATTCCCCCGTGCACCTTGTGTGCGAGTTGGTTGGTGTCGGCAGCGAGAGAACTCGCCGACAAGACAGAGCGCGTGCACGTAATCGCACACACATTGCGCCGCTGCACCGTCGTCGTGCGGAACAAGCGGCAAAAATCGAACTGCATTCTTGCCGTTAAACACATCGCCGCTGAACCGTCGCTGTTCCGCTCTGACTCGACTTTTTGCCGAGACCTCGCCGGATGCACCGACGATTTCTTGCGCATGACCGATATATTCCGCGTTCCAAGCTCCTCGCGGTTTGTTTAATCGTCAAGCGGAATTCACATGCGTGATAACGATAAACACGGATGAGCATTGCTGCTACGAAGATGATTACTTAGTGTAACGTTCTCCATGATGAGAGAAAGAGAGAGAGAGAGAGAGAGAGAAAAAAAAGGAGAGAGAAAACCCGCGGATTGAGTCGCAAACCGGGGAACCTGCTGCTGCTGCTGCTGACGATTTGTAACGCTGATAATCAGTGTTTTTCGTCTCGTCCGCCGATCGCGCGTCGAACGCGCGCTTTTGATCGCCGCGCGCTGTCGTGCAATTAACGAGACATCGAACCCGCAGACGCGAAATAACGGACTCGGATCTATCGGAGCATATATAATAAGCGTTAATTAGAAATCTGAGATTCGTGAGGATCTTGATGTCGGGAGTCATAAAAATTGTTGCGTCTCCCGTCGCGAGCCGCGGCATGATCTTGCCCGCTCGTTTCCGCTTTGCGTCTGCAGCAACCACACACTTGCATTATAGTCGCAAACGCATTTTTGAAAAATGCACACGGCACGGAGAACTCTCTGTGTTAAAATTTGTATAACGCTTTTGTTTTGTTGTTTTTTCCCCGTGGCTTTCGCGCATTGCGTGCGTGCTCAAATCCTGACTGCAGGTTCTCGTTGCGGCCTGTCCGTCTAAAGTTACAGTAGTAGACAAGGAAAAAAGACTAGACGTTTTTGTCATTTCTTTTATGTGTTGCGCGAGAATCGCATATTCAGTCTCTACATGTATATATACGTGCGCTCTTCCGTACAATTGTTTAGAAAAAAAATTTTATTATTATTTCGAGAGGGATGTGTGTGTATATAAAGTACACGGTTTGCCGCGCACATAACTAGCGTCGCCATTGAAAAAAAAAAAAAAAAAAACTACTCTTTCGCGTTCAGCGAATGCGAGAAATAACGAGTTCTCTCTTCGAGTAGCCATATTTACCGCAGCAAACTATTAAATCTTAATTGACCGCAAACGAACATTGCCACATAGCGCGTTGAGATACTATTTTTCATTCCTTTTTGCATTCTCTCGACATTCACCTTCGCATTATATATATATATATATATATATATGTGCGTCTCTTCTGTTCGTTCAATTGTAGAAAAAACGGATGAGGACACGAGCGATGCTAATATATATAGCGACATAATATATTTATTTTTTTCGCAATATTTTAAAATTAGTTAAGAGGGTATTGGGGACCCTGCATATATAAGATGCAATATTAGCATCATATTTGATTTAAAGAATTGTTATTTCAATTCCAAAAAAACTCATGTGAAAAATATTACACGTGAATACATATATATATACATATATATATATATATATATGCATTCATATATCGTCACTCCCTACGTATAATCCCGTAACTCCAAAACGCAAATTTTAGAGGAGAGCAGTTTAAAAGTATAAAGCTTCATATGTTTCCCTATAGTTAGGGATCTTTCGGTTTCAAATTTGGACCTTATTTATGAATTTTTTTTTTAATATTTGGTGACCATAAAGAACATGACTTTTTAAGTGTCATTATGCAATAAACTGAAAATCCCATATGTGACACTTATGTAATTATACGTAGGGAGTGACGATATATATATATTCTCACATTTACGCACAACATCCTGCGAACGGCTCTTCATGTCCTTATATTCATATATTATTAGTTTAAAAGACTTATAGAGCCTGAGAGAGTAATATCTATTTATCACTAATTGTTATAATATATTAAGTTTAGTACCGAAAACGCGGGTTATGCCACATCATTCGCCGTCATGTGACGAAAGAACTTTGTTAGTGGCACACGATGAGCTAAAAAAAAATATTAAAAAAATAAATTTTCCCGCAATCTACTACCGTTCGTTCAAAAAGAAGAGCATCTCTGACGATTTAACCGTCTCGAGGAACAATCTGCAATAATACGAAATGCAGATTTTTCCCGGCACAGAGTCGACTGCTCGTCTCTCTCTTCGTTATTTCAATAAAGTTTGCACAAGTAAATATTCATTAAATGCTCAACTCTTCATGAATAACACAAATTATAAATTAATACAAACAAAACAATAATAATCGAAAAAAAATATATTTAAAAACCGTATTTTAAAAATTATTATTTTTATATGTATCAAATAGTTTTCTGAAATATTTCGCGGGAATAGAAAAATACGCGAGTATTCAAAAGATTTTATGAAGGGAAGGGAAATGCGAAGAAAATTACAATATTTTTCAGAAAATATATTTTCGCTCTCTCTCTCTCTCTCTCTCCCATTTCGTCGCACGTCTCCCATATCCGTTTGTAACGCGAGCTATGAAACGCAGTCACGTTGTATTTCAATCGGGTCTCATCATGGAGAAGAGCACGTGGATACTCTCGACAACTCTCCCGGGTTCCTCCATGCTCATCCATCCGTTCAGACAGCTGATGAAGGCGCGTGCAGCATTTAATAGCGCGCCGGGGATCGTATTTAATGTGTGCCTGTGCGCGGATTGCAACCAACTCCCCCGATGCGCGCAAACGAAATATGGCACAACGACGTATATTGCACAATGTAACGAAACGTTACAAAGTTCGCGTTTATTTGAATTTGAATGCACGTGTATGTCATGTGTGTGCCGTTTCGCAGTTATTGCAACAACGATGATTGCACAGATTTTTCTACGAATTTTTATATACAATTAAAACCAAAAAAAAAAAAAAAAAAAAAAAAAAAAAAAAAAGAAATCTAATGTATATTGTGGTTTGTCAAATTTTTGGATGTTATATATTGTCAATATGTTGTATCACACTCTACTGCTCAAAAGTTTAAGATACATCACTTATCAGATTTATATCACTGAGAAAAAAATACTATTAACTCAACTAAATGCGTTTAATTGAGTTTCAGTTTGTTATCTGAAATATCTTGTTTTTTTCATTCAAGCATATGGTAATAAAGATAACAAATTCGTATAAGTTGAATTAACAATAGCGGTAATGAACATATTTAATTCACTAAACCATGAAAATTGTTTTGTCGAACATAAGTTGTGATAATTTCAAATAAAAGATACTGTTAAAAAAAATGAAATAGGCAATTCTCATTTACTTTAATTGAATATAATCTGAATTTCTTTGTACTAAATATTTCATTTAATCAAACTGCTTATTTTTATAAGCAGACAAAATATTGTGTTGTCCTATTGTGTTGTACATTCAAAGTTACTTGTATTTAAGCAAATTATAATTTTGTTAAAACAACTATATAAATTGTCTTTCGGTATAATCTAATTATTATATCTATTGAAACATGATATCTTCTTACATTAATCAATATTTCATTGACAGCCCGTGACCGCTGCATATAGTTGAATCAAATACTATTTTGTTACTTCAACAACTTTTTTTTCTCAGTGTATATTCGGTGATTCAATTACATTATGTGACTGATTGGTCCAAACTTTTGAGCGTTATACACATTGTGTGCCACGAAAAAAAAAAAAAAAAAAAGAGGTACAACTCGGTAGAGAGCAATCGCGACAGTTAGTAATTTTTTTTCTCGCGCGACTTTTCAAAGCTCGAGAGAGAGAGAGAGAGAGCTCGATGCCGTTTTTCTGAGACCGGTCTCATCGAGCGACTACGGAATTCGTTTTCTCCGGTGTGACTCTCTCGTCCTTTGTTCGAGTAACGACGGAGTTGTTTGGCGGAAACGCGAAGAGGAAACGGTCGATATGGCCTTTCCAAACCGGAGAGAACGTGCAGCCGTAATCGAACCTTCGGCCGTTTAATTTTTGGCCTCAGAAGCCCCGTTCTTCCTTTCTCTCCTCTTTCGCCCTTTCATTCGGCCTTATCTGTCCCCCTTCCGCCGCTCCCAGCTTCTCTGAGAAATTTCTCGAGTCTTGACGCAGTCTCATGTCTGTCTGATCGTTAACCTAGATTCGCCGTTACTGATACTTTCGGCATTATCTTGTTGGCAATCTGCCCGGTAAACGTCCGCGAGGCGTTAACAGCGACGACTATCGTCCTCAACGGCTGATCATCGTCGAGTGGTGATTGACATACTCGGATATACTCGAGACCAATAAACGTTTGAAAAAAAACTATACAGCAACAATTGTATTAATTGGATTATACTGTTATATATTTATCTATACGTATATAATTGTGCTGCTTGTTGAAGATAATACCGTTTCTGT